TATTTCCTGTCTCTCTGTAATTTCCTTCAGCGCCCTTCCCTTCCTCAGATACTAGGCCTAAACTTTCAGCTAGTCTTACCCTATATTATTATTCTTATTTATTATTATAGGACTGGTTTTGTTTTCAAACTGAAGAGTGAAGCAGAACTATGGGCAGATTCATAAATTCACTCTTAAAAAACAGTTTTTCACAGTTCTGAATTGACACTAGATTCCTGATTTTCCACAATTCTGCGCACTGGGGGCACTCCATCCCCCAGTGCCTTCGCCTTGCTTCCTCCCTTTCCTCCTTCAAGGCCGGTCTCAAAACTTTTCTCTTCGACCATGCCTTCAGCTCCCCTCTCGACTCTCTTATCCCCTCCTCGCTCCCTCCCTTCCCTCCCCTCACCCTGACCATTTCCCCCCTGCTCGGGTCCTGACCCAACTGTACAGCGCCTTGGGACGTCCTCCCGACGTGAAAGGCGCTCTATAAATACAATCGTGTTGTTGTTGTTGTTGTCGTCTTAGCATTTTGAGACAAAACTGTCTTAGAAGCTAAGTCTCAGTGAAATTTCAGGATTTATAATAATAATAAAGTATATATAATGACACGAGGAGGACATCGCAAAGCACTTTACAGGATATATTATAAAGTGGAGTGAGAAGGTTACTGGGCTCAAACCTCTCATTGGGATTTTAAACTCACAGTCTATGCTAATACTCAGGTGAGTATCACCATTGACAGAGGTGCCATCCTTCGAATGAGATGTTAAACTGAGGTTCCGTCTGTGCTGTTCAGGTGGATATTAAAGATCCAGTGACACAATTCGAAAAAGAGAAGGGAGTTTCTCTCTCCCGGTTTCCTGGCCAACAATACCCCAGATAAAATTGGTCACTCGCTGCATGGCTGTTTGTGGGACATAGCTGTGCACAAATCGATTGCTGTATTTACTTACAAAATACACAGTCACTACACTTTACCTGTGAAGCGCTTTGGGACATCTCAATGACGTGATAAACGTAAGAACAGGAGTAGGCCATTCAACCCCTCGAGCCTATTCCCCCATTCTATTAGATCATGGCTGATCTGTACCTCCTCTACTTACAGGCCTTTGCTCCATATCCCTTGATAGACGTAAAAATCTATCCACCTCAGGCCCTGTATCAAACGCAAGGACTATTATTATCCCTGATCTCAGTAACTGCCTCCGTGAAGTCTGGAACTCTCTCCCCCAAAAGGCTATAGATGCCAAATGTTTCAAGACTGAGGTGGATAGATTTTTGTGAGATCGGGGCATCAAGAGATATGGAGCAAAGGCGGGTAGCTGGAGTTGAGGTTCCAGATCAGCCATGATCTAATAGAATAGCGGAACAGGCTCGAGGCCTGAATGGCCTAATCGTGTTCCTATGCTCCTTAGTCAGGTTGTGGCTGAAGGAGACTCCTGTCACCTGGGAGGAGATCAGCGTCCTGATGGTCAGCCTCCAGATACAATCGAACGCTCGCCTCCTCTTCCTCCCTGAACACGGCACAAATGCCTACCAAAGCGTGGAGAGTCAGGAGAGTCAGTGCTGGCAGGATTGACACCAATCACACCCAAGTTCAATCAAATGAAACATTTATTAAGAATACATCGTGACTATGACAGAATAATAACCGTTACAGATCTTTGGAGTCTTTACAAAGTGCAGAGTTTGGTGCTGGTTCCTAAACATGGCAAGTGTCTGGCCTGTAAATCCTACTGCCAAAACTGTAATGGAATAATCCAGTATTCATCGCTAATTAATCAACTAATTAATTAATTAACTAATTAGTTAACTAATTAATTAATTGATTAATTAATACACCCCTAACAGGTTTTCGGAATTTAAATCGATATAGTAAATATAATATAGTTTTTAGTGCCGTTTAGAAAAAAATTAAGCTGTAATAAAACTATGAAAAAAAATGCATCCGTCTAACTGCTTAAAGAGAACCTGCTGACCACGAACCCGGGTTGCGATCAGCCAAACAGGCCTTTCTTCCTAAATCTGGAATGTTAGATAATGACTCACAATCTAGGCCACTGGGGAAAAAAAGCAAGAGTGGCACATTCAGGTACACAAGCTTTGCATTTGTCGAGATATACAAAGATTTTTTTCAATTAAAGAAAAACCTCAAATGTATTGCGTATCTTTCTTTCAGTGCAGAAGGAACCAACTTTTTTTTTTAAAAAAAACTGATTAGAAACCCAATAAAGTTTTCTTCCAAACTGTCCCAAATTCTTAATCGCGTCCCCAGAAGATTCTTTGACGTTGAAAAGGTTTGCGATTATTGTGCATTTTATCAGACGAGTGGAATGGAATTCGACATCCCATATTACTTCAAGGCTCAGTTTCTCTTAAAGGTATATAAACATTAAGACGTCAGTCACAACCACATCTTTGAATGCCTTCTCAGAGGGAGGAAATGAATGAATCAATGGCAGTGTTATGGCACGTACAAACACAGGTCACTTTCTTCAGCTGGTCATTGTTATTCAGTAAATTGAGGGTTACACACTGTAAAAATGCTCTCATTATGGTCCAAGAACATTTTTTAGCTATCATTAGACACAACAAACCACTTAGGTGCTCAAATCTTAGGAGACACCCTGTTAGCCATGGAGAGGTTCCTGCAACAATTCACTAAATTAACATCTGGGATTTATATGGGGCCTGACACACGCAGAAACCCACCACCGTGCTTAAGGGTATCCAAACCAGACAGAGTTCCACACGTGTATGCCACCTTACACAGCGAAATGTCCCTATGTCTGGAATGGAATGCGCAGGCTTTCTCCCGAGGGACGGACCCAACCAACCTAATTCTTGAGGGTATTAGGCACAGGTTGGCAAGAGCCAAGGCTCGGGGGAAGAATTGGTTGGAGTAACTGCTTGAGGATCAACCAGCTAATACCATGAGAGCACTCTCTGGAAGGCTTCCCACTGCTTGTCCAGCTAGGACCACCCTAACGCATTAGGGCTTTGACTTTGAGGGGTTAACAGGAGCTAAGTGTGAAGAAATTCTGTCCCCATTTTGTACCCCCCCCCCACCTCACTGGGTCTGATTAGAGGATCGGCAGACTTCCCTTAGGTCTGAGAGGTTAAAGGGTTCTATGATTGAGATGTACGTATCTGAGTCTGATCACCTGCTGATTGCTAACACTAGTGATCTGGACAATTATAATCCGCCCGTTTATAAGCCTGTGATTGACCCAAACAGAGAACAGTTACTTTGGAACAGAACTTAACATCCATTCGGAGTGTGGACTCCTAAATCCGTCCAGCGCTCATTGCCAGAGGTGTTTGACCAGATTCTAATGTTTCGTTCCAATTTTAAATCCGGGTCAGGATAATGGGAATATTGTTTATATCCCGCTTTCAATTAACTTCATTGGCAAATTTAGAAAGTCATTAAATTTCAGCTCTCTCTAAAGTTCCATACCTTATTGCCCTTCTGTGTGACCCACTTTTGCTGCCAAGCGAAATACACTTTCGTTCTCTCCTTCAAAATGTCCCAGAACCGTATAACAAAGACCAAGGTGGTCCAAGCTCACAGTGAGACATTTAAATTAACAAAAAAATGTGGTCACTTAAATCCGCGACTGTTTGTGGGACACTGCTGTGTGCAATTGGATGCCGCGTTTCGTCCACAAAATATACAGTCAAATCACTTTACAGTATATTCTGTGAAACGCTTTGAGACGTCTCGAAGGTGTGATAAGGCGCTATGTCAAATGCAAGGATCATTACTATTATTAGTGTGATCGGCTGGATAGACGAGAGTACTCACAAACCACCACAAACACGGGCAGTTAACTGAGAGGGAGTCAAAGCAATTTTTTTAAAAATACTGCACAACAAATCCACCTTCTCAATGACATTCCAGGATGAACCTCAATCTAAAGTACAACTCTATTTGGAAAAAGAGAAGGGAGTTTCTCCTGTGTCCTGGCCAACAATCACCCCAAATAAAAACTGGTCATTCATATTGCAATTGATTGCTGTGTGCAAAATTGGCTGCCTCGTTGGCCCTCAATTACATATGATCTCCACACTATCCAGTAAACTCCTGTGAAGCTCCTTGAGGCATCATCTTGAGGTGGAACAGCCAATCCCTTTGCCTTCAAGTATATATTTTTTTAAAAATGTTCTTTTTGCCTCTAATGTTGCTCTCCGTGCACAAGTCCTGATTTCTCGCTTCAGAAACACAGGAGCTAAAGCCAGGGCTGCTGTGTTTCGCTCACAAAATACTCAGTCACTACACTCAACAGTATATTCTGCGAAGCTCTTTGAGACGTCTCGAAGACCTGAAAAGGCGCTATATGGCCAAAGTAGGCTGCCCTCCCTGCCCTCCATCCTCCCTGATCCCAACCCACACACCTCCCAACCCTCCCCCCAGCTCGAGTCTAATTCCCTGACTGTCCAGCACCTTGGGATGTTATACAAAAAGGAAATTTTGTATTTTATATCAAATGCAAGGATTATTATTATAACATTCAGCCCCCTCCCCACCCCCCCACACAAATGTGGATGCAATAGTGCAACAACCCTTTAAATGAAATAAATAAAAGGTCTTGCTATGAATTCTAATGTTCTGAATTCGCATGGCTCAACACCCTTTGGCGCTTTGAGACGTCTCAACGACATGATAAGGCGCGATATCAAAGGCAAGGCTTATTGCTATTATTATCAGAACGGGAGACCAAAACTGGAACTCTGCGAGTTAAATATCAACGTGGGGAAGAGATCTGGGATATTATTTTGTATGCTGACATTTACCCCGACTGATATCCTGTAGGCATAAACCAACAGAGCATTACCAGAGCTGCAATAACAAGAATCAACTTCAAACTTGTACCTTCGCATGGGCTAATGCACCGAAGATCAATTTACTCAGGGATTTTTTTTTCGGAGGAGGAGTGGGGAATGTTAAAATGCACAGTAAGCAAACCGTTTGATTTCCGATGCTGACAAATTGACAACGATAGTGTTTTTTTTTCTCTCTCTCTCTTTCGTTCAATGCAAAGTTGGTTCTGAATTTAGTGGGGGGGAGGGGGGGGGGTGGAAAACGCCGCCTGAAGTCATGCCAAGTCACTTCCAAAAACAAAAAAAACAACAAAAAACAGAATGATAAATATTTCATTGATATCCCACAAGCTCCAAAGTGGACTCAGCTGCAGTTTTCTGGAAAAATGGCATGTTGCTATATTCAGTTTGGTAACAAACAGTCCAATACCTTTTACCAAATGCACAGGAAATATGTTTTTTTTTAATATTTTTTTAGAATTTTTTTTGTGTGGGGATCTTTGCACTCTGTAAAACGTGTCCGTTTCAGTCCAGTGGCTCCTGTTTTATTCGAATGACCGGCGGAACGCGACACAACCTTCTGATTTGCCGCCGCAGCACATATTCGCTAAACTGGGAGGAGTCCACACCACCTCCGCAAGACCCCACGATCTCGAAGCCTTTCTGCTGTAGCCGCTCCAGAACCTGCCCAGGGGGAAGCACAGAAGTGAGGTGCACAGCAGGTAATACAACACACACACACGCACGCATACACATGCACTGTGCACACATACAAACCCAACACTGTGCACACATACACACCAAACACTGTGCACACACTGTGCACACTTATACACCGCACATATTCACACCACACGCACACACACACACACAGACGAATGCCACACGCTGGAAACATAAACACCGCACACACCCACACACACCAAACACCACACGCTTAGCATACACACTAGCACAAATGAGCACGTGGACTGCTGTGAACAAAAAAAAACACACACATCCCTTTCCCTGTTTATAGGGAGGGAATGAGGGGAGACATTTGTATTATAGCGGGGTATAATGATAGGATCCATCGTGTGGCCAACATTAGCACAAGCCGCCTTTCCGTTGTGCGATGATTAAGAATGTCAAAAACCTGTTATGAACACGTTCCCTTATAAACACTCAATAAAGATTGATAATATTAGACATCCGCACGGGATAGACACCATTGTGTCACTTCGCAGGCCTCCAAAGAAATCAGTCTTGACACGTTTCCTCTGCTGAATAATGCATTAATGCACAGGATACATCTAAGAGAGCGACACATGAAAAGGATCTTAATGCTGTGGGAAAACTTGCTCCATAATGTAAAAATTAAAAAAAAATAGACTCGCTGTGCTCCATGAACATAAGTACTTTCAAAAGTTAATATGGAAAAGTTTGCCTATTATTTCGCCCACACAATATACAGCCAATTCACTTTACAGTATATTCAGAGAAACGCTTTGAGACGTCTTGATGAAGTGATAAGGCGCTATATCAAATGCAAGGAATATTATTATCAAAAGTTCACCAATGACTGAATTACATGGGGATATTTTATAACCGGGTCTAGACTTGCTCTTTTTAATGTAGCATTTTGGAGTGTCCAGAATTGGGCAAATAGTCGATTTCAGTCTTAACTTTGAAGACAAGCTGTTACTGAAAGAAATTAGGAGAAAACTGGCTTCAAAATCAAGGCTTTGATTAAGAATTTACCAAACCCTGGACCTTCTGAAATGCAGAACAACACAAATTTACATCCACACAGCCTCACCCAGCTCGGGAGAAAGTCCCAAAGTGCTTAACTCCTGGCTGGACACGTCATCAAAAAAATATGCAAAAAAAGCAAATCTATAATGAAATTCCCACTGGGAAACGAACTGGAAATTTTAAATCCTATTCAGTTCCCATAGGTTCTTGCCCATTTTATTTAATAGCTTTTTTTTTAACTCAGTCATAAATTGCTTTTTTTAATAAAAAAAAGTATATATAATCTCGGAAATCGAGAGCAGGGAGTTAAGCTTCATTTGAGCTATCGTATTTGGGACCAGTCTAACCGTAGTCATATTGAATTTAATTCAGATTCCCCAGATGTCAGTCTCAGGCCATACAGTGCTCTGGTCTGTGGTCAGGGTGTACCTTGAGCACTGCATGCAGTTCTGGTCACCGCAAATAAGGGGGTTGTCCAGGCCATAGATGCAGTGCAGAGGAGAGGAAAACGAGGATGATCCTCTGAGTCAGAGCTATAAGCAACAAATAGACAAGCTAAGGCACTTCAGTCTTGAGAGAAGATGTCTCAGGCCAGGTTGTTGACTGGCGGCTCACCGTACCTGCACAGAGTTGAGGTGGCAGTACCCGTTCAGGGGGAATCGGATGACGTGTGTTGAATCGTGGTTCCAGCCAGCGTTGATGGAATTGCACATCACGTCCCCGATTTCTGGGAAGACCTCCTCTATGAGGGACTTGTCTCCGCTCAGGGTGATGCGCTCTCCCAGGTCTGGAGCCACTCGCACCACCAGGCACTCGCATGGCCGAGAGAACCTGCTCAACTCCCGCTCCTGTTTCCACCGCTCTAGCTCCGCCAACATGGGCTGCAGCTGAAAGTATTTGGCTTCTTCATATAACAAACTGTAATCCTGCAACACACAATACACAATACAGGAGACCATTCAGCAATAATAATAATGCTGCATTTGTTATTGCGCATTATATCTTTGCAGGGCTATGGGGAGAGAGCGGGGAAGTGGGATTGAATTGGATAGCTCTTTTAAAAGAGCCGGCACCGGCATGATGGGCTGAATGGCCTCCTTCTGTGCTGTATAACTCTATGATTCTATGATGATTCTTATTGCGTACAACTAACTGTAATCCTGCAATACAGCACACAATACAGGAGGCCAATTAGTAATAATAATAATCGTTGAATTTGATATTGCGCTTCATCATGTCATTAAGATGTCTCAAAGTGCTTCACAGGATATATTGTAAAGTGGATTGTCTGTGTATTTTGTGGGAGAAACGCGACAACCAATTGCGCACAGCAGTTCCCACAAACAGTCGTGGATTGAGTGACCGGAGTATTATTATTATTTTTTTTGGAGAGCTTATATCCCCACAGAACGCAATCCACCAATCGACTTTCAACCGGTCTAATTGAGCCATTCAACTAGAAAGAAACCTGCCTCGCTGGGCCAAGAGGTAGCTGTGTGTCTGTGTGTGTGTGTGTGTGTGTGTATTGGGGGGGATGGGAGGGGGAGGGAATTGAAAGATCCGTAAGCTGGTGGAGGTATAAAGTAATTGAAATAAATAAGCACTTTTAATAATTGCTTGCATTTGATATCGTAGAGATCACCGACCACATCATCAAAATGTCTCAACAATAATAATAATCCTTGCATTTGAGACATCTCAAAGCGCTTCACAGGGTGTATTGTAAAGTGAATTGACTGCATTTTAACTGTGTATTTGAGCGTCTCAAAAGTGCTTGGCAGAATATACTGTATATTTGTGAGCAAAATGCACTTAAAGCACTTCACAGGATTTAATGTGAAGTGGGTACTTGTCTGTGAGCGTGACAGCCGATTTGCGCCATTCACTGAAGGAGTGATTAATTTTGCTAGGGGTGAGGGTGGTGGGGGGGCGGGGGGAGAATTGCTGGCCAGAACACCGGGGAAAACTCCCTTCTCTTTTCGAGTAGTCCCATGGGATCTTAAACGTTTTCCTGAGCAGACAAATGGAACCTCAGTTTAACGTCTCATCCGAAGTGCCCTCAGCAAAGCTATGGGAGTGTCACATAAGATTGAGGGCTCAGAGTACTGACATGAACTGATAACCTTCAAACTCAGAGGCAAGAGTGTGACCAACTGAGCCGGGCTGGCAACTGCATACCAGTAACAAATAGGTATAGATTTGCTTTGAATCAAGTACAACGACTATACAGGAACCTCAGTGCCTAACTATGGTAGTTTCACATTTCACTACAAACAACTGACCTAAACTGCAGGTTGGGCTTATTGCCCACAGGCTAATCATGTTGAAACGCATCCCCTTTATGTACATAAACACTGATACAACAACAACAACAAGATTCCATTTATAAAGCGCCTTTCACGTCAGGAGGACGTCCCAAGGCGCTGATGAAAAAGATGTAATCCTTTTCATTGTTTAATTATATAATGAAGGGGACCTGCAAATGTTTGAAAACGGTTAGCTCGAGGGCTAAACAACTCGACCCACATTTTAGGACTCAATCATAAGGATGGGTATCGAAAGCAATGTCAATGCTGTTGTTGGCTCTGGCAGGAAGGAGGAAGCAAGGTTGTGATTTCAGTTAATACTTCAGGGCCTTGGGACGTCCTCCTGATGTGAAGGGCGCTTAATAAATGTAACTTGTTGTTGCTGTTAAATCTGCGAGGACGTTGTCCTGATGTGAAGGGCACCGTGTCAATGTGAATTATATTGTACCGATCGACTGATAACAACAACAACAAGATGCCATTTATAGAGCCTTTCACGTCGGGAGAACGTCCCAAGGCGCTGGACAGTTGGGTCAGGACCCGAGCAGGGGGGAAATGGTCAGGGTGAGGGGAGGGAAGGGAGGGAGCGAGGAGGGGGTAGAGAGTCGAGAGGGGAGCTGAAGGCATAGTCAAAAAGAAAGGTCTTGAGACCGGCCTTGAAGGAGGAGAGGGAGGAAGCAAGGCGAAGGTACTGGGGGATGGAGTTCCAGAGCCTCGGGGCTGAGAGGCTGAAGGCCTGGCCACCGATGGTAGGGCGGTTGGGGCGGGGAATGTGGAGCAGACCGGAGCCAGAGGAATGGAGGGTACGGGCAGTTAGGTAGGGGGATAGTAGGTCGGAGAGGTAGGGATAGTACGGCGGAGAGATAACTGGGTTCCTACTTACTGCTAGGTAAACTGAGATGTGTGGAGTAAGGAAACTTGCCCAACATTTTGCCATGCCCAGGAATTGATTGGAACATTTAAATGGGTGATGGATGATACTTGGGATGTAAGGGCATTAAGGGATATGCAGAAAAGGTGAGGAAATAGGATTAAAAGATCTGTTATTATCCAATAAAAGGATGTTCTACCGGGCAGAATGACATGCTTCTGTTACTACGTGACTGTGTGCTATTGCATTGTCAACATCAACGTGTCCATTTTCTACACCTATTAAATTATAATGATAATAATCCTTGCATTTGATGCAGCCCCTTTCACATCAGAAGGATATCTCAAAGTGCATTTACATAGAATTACAATGAATATACAGCACAGAAACAGCCATTCGGCCCAACTGGTCTATGCCAGTGTTTATGCTCCACATGAACTTCCCCTGCCCTTCCTCAACTAAGCCTATCAGCTTAACCTTCTATTCCTTCCTCCCTCAAGTACTTATCTAGGTTCCCCTTAAATGCATCTGTGCTATTCACCTCAACAACTCCTTGTGGCAGCAAGTTCCACATTCCTCCACCCTGTGGGTAAAGAAGTTTCTTCTGACTTCCCTATTTGGGTTATTGGTGACTATTTTATATTTATGACCTCTAGTTTTGGTCTCCACCACAAGTGGAAACATCTTCTCTGTATCTATCCTATAAATTGGTAGCATTCTCGCTATTCCAGTTGGGAGGTTGTGGTTCAAGCCCCACGTCAGGGGGTGTGCAGACAAAGGAACATAGGAACAGTGGAGTCCTGTAGCTCAGTGGTTAGATCGCTTGTCTTGCAAGCGAGACACTTGGGTTCAATTCCAGGCCATTCAGCCCTTTGAGCCTGTTTCACCATTCAATTAGATCATGGCTGAACTAATCCTGTCAATTCCAATTTCCTGCTTTTTCCCCATATCCCTTGATACGCTGACCTACCAAAAATCTATCAACCTCACTCTTGAAGGTGTGGATGGATCCAGCATTCACGGCCTTTTGGGGGAGAGACTTCCGGATTTCTACAACCCTTTGAGTGAAAAAATGCTTCTTGATTTCACTCCTAAATGAACTGGTTCTAATTTTAAGACTAAGGCCCCTTGTTCTGGATTCCCCACCAGAGGAAATAGCTTTTCTGTATCTACCCTATCAAATCCCTTTATCAACTTAAATACCTCAATCAAATCACTCCTCAACCTTCTAAACTCAAGGGGATACAATCCAAGTTTAAGCAGCCTTCCCTCGCAACTTAACCCTTTTAGGCCTGGTAATATTCTGGTGAACCTGTGCTGCACCCCTTCCAGGGCCAATATATCTATCCAGTGGTGTGGTGCCCAAAACTGAACGCAGTCTCCAGATGGGGTCTGACTAACGCTCTAAAAGCTGAAGCATCATTTCTTCCCCTTTGTATTCCAGGCCCCTCGAGAATAAGGCCAACATTCTATTTACCTTTTTGATTACTTTTTTTGCACCTGGGAACTAGTTTTTATTGATTTGTGGATATGGACACCCAAATCTCTTTGCTCCTCCACAGTCCTTAGTCTCTCCCCATTAAGAAAATGGGCAAAGCTATGGCAGATGGAGTTCAATGTAGGGAAGTGTTTTTTCGAGCCACAGTGAATGACCTCATACTTCCCTACATTGAACTCCATCTGCCATAGCTTTGCCCACTCACTTAATCTGTCTAAGTCCCTTTGTAACTTCTACTCCCATCTACACAACTTACTGAACCTCCTAGCTTAGGGTCGTCTGCAAACTTGGATATAAAACTTTCTATTCCTTTAGCCAAGTCATTGATATATATGGCGAAAAGCTGGGGTCCCAGTACAGACCTCTGGGGGACATCACTTGTCATGTCCCGCCAATCAGAGAACGTTCCCTTTATCCTTACTCTGTTTCCTGCCTCCCAACCAATTACCAAGCCACGTCACAAGGTTACCTCTGACTCCATGCACTTCCATTTTCGCTAATAATCTTTCGTGCAAAACCTTATCAAATGGCTTCTCAGCGCCTTGGGACATCCTCCCGACATGAAAGGCGCTATACAAATGTAATCTTGTAGTTGTTGTTGTTGTTCTGGAAGTCCATATAAACGACATACATAGACAGTCTCTTATCTACCATTTTACTGATCTCCTCAAAAAAATCAACTAGATTAGTCAGATACGACCTACCCTTCACAAACCCACGCTGACTCTCTTTGACTAGCTCATACTTGTCCAAGTGTTCAATCACTCTGTCCCTGATGATGGATTCCAGTATTTTCCCTACAACTGACGTTGACAGGTCTGTAGTTTCCTGGTTTCTCCCTCCCTGCCTTTTTAAATAAAGGGGTGACATTCGCAATTTTCCAATCACGGACATTCCAGAATTTAGTGAGCTTTGGAAAATTATGACAAATGCATCTGCAATTTCCTCTCCTATTTCCTTTAATGCCCTGGGGTGGAAACTACCAGGTCCTGGAGATTTGTCTATCTTGAGTCTCATTATTTTTTCCATTACCCTTTTTTTAGTTATATTAATTTTATTAAACATTCCACTTTGACTTGGTTCCCGGGTATGGCTGGTATTTTGTCCTCGTCCTCCACTGTAAAAACGGTAGCAAAGTATTTATTTAACAAGTCAACCGTTTCCTTATTCTCCGTTATAGTCTCACCTACAACTGTCTTTAACGGGCTCACATTGCCCTTGGCCACTCTCTTTCTCTTAATATATTTATAAAGGCTTTTACTATTGATTTTCGCCCACAAAATAGTCAATTCACTTTACAGTATATTCTTTGAAGCGCTTTGAGAAGCCGCGAAGACATGATAAGGCGCTATATCAAATGCAAGGATTATTATTATTTATTATTATTAATATCATTTGCAAGTTTTTTTCATATTACCTTTATCCTCCTCTTATTACTTTCTTTGTATCCCTTTGTTGCCTTTTGTAGTTGCCAGAGAAAGTGGTCCCTGACCAGCATCGCTTTCCTCCACCTCCACCACATTGTCCATATCCGCAAGCTGCCGAAACCCTTGTCCATGCCTTTGTCACCTCTCGGCTGGACCACTCTAAAGCCCTCCTCGCCCCCTCCCCCCCTCCACCATTCACAAAATTCAACTCATCCAAAACTCCGCCGCCCAAGTTCTTACCGGCATTAAACTCCACACCCCAATTACCCCATCCCTTGCCAAACTCCACTGGCTCCCTGTCACAGAGTGGATCAATGTCAAGATCCCTCCATTCCTTGGCACCCCCTTATCTCTAACCTCCTCTCTGACCCGCTGCTTCCTCTCTACTGGGTCCAGCCTCCTCCATGTCCCCCAAATCCGCCGCTCCACCATCGGTGGCCGTGACTTCAGCCACTACCCTTGAAGCTATGGAACTCCCTCCCTCAAACCCTTCGCCTCACCCCCTCTTTCCCCATTTTCAGGTTGCGACTTTTTCTTGCATTTGCATTCTTGCCTTTTCCTGTACTTGGACACAGTCCCTAACCTTGTTTGTCAACCATGGTTACTTAACTACACAATTGGAGCTTTTGCATTTTAGGGGTATGTACTTTGTCCTGAGGGTGTGCTGCATTGTCGGGAGGTACCGTCCTTTGGATAAAACGTTAAATTGAGCTTCCATCTACCTGTTCTAGTGGACGTTAAAGATCCCATGGCAGTTTTTCCCGGTGTCCTGGCCGACAATCCCCCAAATAAAATTGTTCACTCACTTCATGGCTATGTGTGACATATTGCTTAGTGAAAATTGGCTGCAACATTTGCCTACAAATACCGTCACTACACTTTACAGTTTATGCTAAACGTAAGGATTGTTATTGTTTTCCAACAAGAATTCTCGCTTCAATTTCACGGTTTCTCAGGTAGGTCTGGTGTAAGGTGGGCACACGTCGGTTTGGAAAGGCCTGACAAGCCGCTTCTTGATCAACTTAAAACTTTGGACAGATTATTACCGAAAGCGATCCGCCAATCGACTATCAACTGGGTTCCTACTTCCTGCTTGGTAAACAGAGGTGTGTGAGGTAAGGAAACTTGCCTAAGGTTTTGCCCTGCCCAGGGATCGAACCCGGGTCCTCTCGCTAACCATTACACTATGTATAAAATGTAAAATTGCTGCTGTTGGATTCATAGACTTACTTTGAAATCGTCAGGAATAAGAAGTCTTGATGTTCGAAGAAAGTTCAATATGTAACGAAACATCTGACCATCTCGATCGATAAAGTAGTGTTGCTTGAGGCTGTCCAGCACAATGGGTTCTGTGCCATCAAAAAGCCGGCCAATTCTGTAACAAATGAACACAGAATGCATTGTAGTAGCGCAGATAGATACTTGTTGTTGTTCATTCCTCAACTGAATGCAAATGATATGTGATTCCACAACCACAGTAGTTTCAGAAGGGGAAGTTACAAAGTGTCCCATAATTTAGACCAGGGTGTGCTGAGGGCTGAATGCCCTATTTGAGAAATGTCTGTGCCCACATAAGCAATATATTTTCTCTTCCAGAAACACAACATAACATGAAATAGAAGGGGGTGTGGAGGGGGGGCAAGTGAGGAAGAAGGCTGTATTGTCATGGTGCCGTGCTTTGGATGAAGTGTTAAACCGAGGTGGCTTGGGACGTCCTCCCGACGTGAAAGGCGCTCTATAAATGGAATCTTGTTGTTGTTGTTGTTGAGGTCCCGTCTGTGCCTGTTCAGGTGAGGGTTGAAGATCCTGTGGCATTACTCGAAAGGACAAAGGTTTTTCTCCCGGTGTCCTGGTCAACAATCCCCCCAAATAAAATTGGTCATTAGTTTCATGGCTGCTTGTGGGACATTACTGCACAAATTGGCTGTTGCGTTCAGCTCCAAATACACAGTCTCTACACTTTTCAGAAAACTCTGTGAAGCACTTGTGAAATTTTGATGCTATAAAGCACTATATCAAAAGTTTGTATTACTTATAATCAAAATCCTTTTCTTCACATTAAGGATTGTGAGAATGTACAAAGCATCTGATCGCATCCCTCCCGAACATGCACCCTATGTTCCTCCCATCACAGCATCAAGCTGCTTTTTAAATTACTCCAAGAGTCCAATCATATGGATCCACAAAAATTTCCTGGTGTCTGTCCTGAAATTGCCCTTTACACTCTAACATACTTCCTCTTGTTCCACTGTCTTGGTGCATCCGAAAGTATTGTTCTGGTGTAATTTTTCAATCCCATTCAAAATGTTATACACCTCTACAAGATCCCGTCTGAATCCTCTTCTCTTAAGACTGAAGAGCCCGTAGATTGTCATCTTTGCAGACACGATGCGCCGAATGGCCTCTTTCTGTGCTGTATGATTCTATGGTTCTATACCTCATTTTATGAATGGATTTCATTGTCATTGCTGATTGCTCATTTTTTAAGTGAAGGAATGAATGAATGAACGAAAGCTGCATGGACTGCCTGGTTTATTTCCCCCTTACTTTCAAGGACTCGCCAAGGAGCGTGGTTGACACCAGGACACTGAACTCATTTAAAAAGCAACTTGATGCTGTGATGGGAGGACAGCAAGGTGGGTGTTCTGGAAGGATGACAGCAAATAAACCAAAGGACCTTCTTCCGTACAGATCTCATTAACTTCCAATAGCAACTCGTGCTTGGTAAGTTAACCTTGTTGGGGAAATCATTTGAAATTTAATTCAAGGAACCTTAACTTTGTATAATTAGGTACAAAAACTTCTTGGAGACACTGGAAAATAATTAAAAGTGGAAGATGTTCCCTGCAAGAAGCATGTTTGGAATTTAATGGAAATTTGCGCTGAAGTATTTAATGACCAGATGCTTTGGAAGAGAAAAGACTTGGACGCGGGTAGCAACTACAACTCCTGTCATGACTCGAAGCACAAAGGGCAGGTTTGAAATGTTTGCACACAAAGAATTCAGGAACATGTCACCGCAAGCAGCTGTTGAAACCGAATCAATAACGCTGTTTAAAAAGGAATTAAATAAACGCTTGAAGAATGAAGAGATAAAAGAGCGTTAGAGACAATGGCTTCTGTGTGGAGCTATTGATGGGCAGACATGGGAGACCAAATTACTTTTTACGCAAGAGTTTCTTTTTAAAAAAAATTCATCGAAACCTGCCTCAAAAATCAAATAGTCACAAGATAACAAGATTGAACCAGACGAAAAAGGCCCTTTGGTCCATCCACCTCAGATCTCGAGAACACCCACCTTACAGTCCCCTCATCACACATCAAGCTACTTTTTAAATTAGTCCCAGGCCTCAACCACCCTTCCTGGAAACCTGTCCCAGTTATTAATTATCCTTTGAGTAAAGAATTATCCTGAAATTGCCCTTTGCAACTCTAGACCTATGTTCTCTTGCTCTGCTGTCTTGTTGAATCCTGAAGTATGAATCTGGGTCTACGTTTTCAAACCCATCCAGAGTTGTATACACCACTTTATACTCAGTAGCAGGGACAGCTAGTCACATCTAAGAAACATTGTCCTGAAGAGCCCCTCTTTGTGCTCCTTAGCAATGAGGAGACAAGCAGAATGGAATTTCAGATCTGAAATGCAGGAGTGAGAGGAGATGGGGGAGAAGAACCCGAGAGTCACTGGTTAATTATTATTATTAATGATTATTGTTGATTATTATTGTATTATTGGGGTAATAATCCCTTCAAATGTTTTAAAAATAATAATTTGGTCACTCAATCCATGACTGTTTGTGGGACACCACTGACCACAATTTTCTGTTGTGTTTCGCCCACAAAATATACAGTCAATTCATTTTACGGTGTATCCTGTGAAGTGCTTTGAGATTTCTCAATGTAATAAGGTGCTACATCAAATTCAAGAATTATTATTATTATTGTCCACTTTTGTGAATTTCCGAGTTTTGTTATTTTTTATTGCCCGTTCAGAATCGTACATGCACAAAATGTGTAAAACAGGTTCTTGGGAGTTTTAAAAGTCTGTAAAAGGGCAAGTACAAAAAAACACCTACCTCTCTCCTCGAAGCGTTGTGGTTCCAAACAAGCAACAAAACCCTTCTGAGGGTTAGACTGTAGCGATGTGCAATATGCAAGAGTGGGGTTTAAATGAGCCTAATTTTCTCTCATGCAGTAAATCATTTACCTCGATTCGGGGAACTTGGTGAGCGTTGCCAGGCTGCTGGTGTACATGTGCCCTCCCACGTCAATGTGCACTGGGGCGTTTGATTTGGTGAGCTGAGCTGGGGTTGGGATCCCCTGGTTGTTGAGCGGAGACACTGGAGACCTCGTCAGCAGAGGTCTCGACATGTTGTGTCGACTGTCCTGCAAGGCAATGGGCCACACAGCAGTCAGTCAAGGTAGAGGATTTCGATAATCACACAAAGGCAAATATTTCAAGAGAGCAAAAACAAAACAGCAGTCGCGACACTTTGCACATTGGAAATCAAAACTAAAAATTGAAGCAGCGCAATAATAGCAATAATTAACCTTGCATTTCATTTAGCGCCTTATCACATCTTCAAGACATCTTAAAGCGCTTCACAGAATATACTGTTTAGTGAATTGAACGTGGGCAAAACACAGCAGACAAGCAGTGTCCCACAAACAGTGGTGGTTGAGTGACCAAATTATTATTATATTATTAGCTTTTCTTTTAGGGGATAATTACCCTCGGAGAAGCGATCCGCCAATCGACTAACAACCGGGTTCCCACTTACTGCTAAGTAAAACAGAGGCATGTGTATGGAATAAAGAAACTTGCCTAAGGTTTTGCCCTTAAGAAACTTAAGACTTTCATAGTTTAAAAAAAANTGCAAAACTTTTTAAATGTACATTTGCTGCATTTGCAATTGGGGATTTCCTATGCAAACAATGACCTTGGCCTGATCTTCATCGCTGTGACAAACCTGCAATAATAAAGGTGTGAGCCAGCAAGCTTTTTAAAGAATAGAAAACACACATTTGCTTCGAGCGACCGCAGTTGCCAGGCCACTTGTCAAGCACAAAAAAAACTGCTATACTTTTTGGCACGGCAAACAAAACTCACAAGTTTAATGATATAAACGGTGACACGCGTCTCAAATTTTTTTTTAGAAATTGTTAGTTGATTCGCAGATCACTTACCAGGGTAGTAACAAGTCCTTCAAAGAAAAATTAATAATAATAATTTGGTCGCTCAATCCACGACTGTTTGTGGGATGTTGCAGTGCACAATTTGACGGCCGAGTTTCGCCCACAAAATATACAGTCAATTCATTTTACAGTATATTCTGTGAAGCGCTTTGAGGCGTCCCAATGATGTGAAAAGGCGCTATTTCAAATGCGAGGATTATTATTACAATTTCTCAGAACCACTATTGATAAGGAGGATTGCTAGTGCATATACTAACGCTCACAATTTTCAGTAAGCCCAGTTTGGTAAAGATACAATAATAATTCTTACATTTGATATAGCGCCTTTTACATCATCAAGACTTCTCAAAGCGCTTCCCAGGATATACTATAAAGTGTAATAACTGTGTAGTTTTGTAGGCGAATGAGACAGCCAATTTGCACACAGCATGTCCTATAAACAGCCATAAAGCATATTTTATCCAAGAGAAACTTCATTCTCTTTTTGAACAACGCAATGGGAGCTTTAATTTCCACCTTAACACATAGACAAGACCTTGGTTTAATGTCTCATGCAAAGGATGGAACCTCCAGCAATGCTGCTCACCATCAACACGGCATTGTCAGCCTTGAATACGTTGGTTCAAAGTGCTGACTTGAACCCACAACTTTCTAAGTCGGAGGCCAGAGTTACAATAAGGCAACAGCACTCATCAAATTTGGTGAAACTGTAGCAAAGTTATGTAAAACATAGTACAGAGTAATCTGTGCTTGGTTGCCGGCACACTCATGACTGTAGAAACGAGGAAAAGGTTGCAAACATACACCTCAGTGATCACAGGTGGACGAATACAGAGGTGGAGCCTTGCCTCTGACTGGACAGGTGGATGTGGCTAGTGAACCTGTAGAAAAGTTGCAACACAGAGGAAAGCCATTCAGCCCAACTGTGCTGGCTCTTTTTATGGTTGAACACCCCCGTTAAACGGAACTTTTCTCCAGTTTACGTGGTGATAATTAGATAGGGCGAGCGGGCGGGCGGTGGGGTGTGCAGTGGAGGGGAAGGAGTCGAAGCAAGGAAAAAGAGAGATGAAACAAAAATTCTATGTTGATGTAATGCAAAGATTGAAGCTGCATTATTCTTTAAACGCTTAACGGGTGAAAACCACCCCATGACTAACTCCCCGCAGTCGTTTTACACAGACCAATATGAATGTGTATGAAGCAACCACTTATTAATCTTTCCAGGCAGAGCGAGAAGATCCTTTGAGCTATAATGTAAAAAAAAATTTGCCCAAAGGGGTCTCTGTGTTCTTACGATTAGAGCTGAAAATATTAGTATTCTGAAAGTCTAAGTAACTCTAAAATGCCCCGTACAGTTCAGCAGTGTGATAAGGAAATGTCTGTCAGTTAATGTATGGACGTATGGGCTTTGAGAGCTGGATTGTTCAAGAGCAGGGAGTCTCAGGCAGCAGACAAATGTTTCGCCCACAATACAGTCACTTCACTTTACAGTATACCCTGTGAAGCATCTTGAGACATCTCGAAGTACGCGATAAGGTCCTATATCAAATGCAAGAATTATTATTATGTACCCAATGATATAGGTTGTTCCCTCTGTGGCTGTTTGCGGGATGTTGCTGTGCAGAAATCACCTACGAAATACACAATCGCTTTACAGTATAATGCTATAAAGCGCTTTGAGACGCAGTGTGAAAGGTACTGCATCAAATGCACGTATTATTATTATTATATCAGGATATATCAGATTATTATTATAACAGGACAGGTGTACTCTTCAAGCCATTCAGCAGCTACACAGAGCCAGGGTGTGAAAAGCAAGTGCATTGTTAGCGGTTTCGGGCAATGTTGAAGTGAAACACTTTTTGCCTGCAATGGCGCTTAGAAAAACACTCCTACTGCAGGCAAGCAGAAAGGCTTGCAAAATCAGCAGCGTTATTAGGCACCACATAACATTGCCAGGTAGCACATAACAGTGCTTTGAGACATCTCGACAAAGTGATAAGGCGCTGTGTCAGATGTAAGGATTATTATTATTATCAAAAAAGTGGTAAGCCACATTGAGCCCTTAAAGGGGCATTTCACCAGCACCTCAAGACGAATGGATTAAAACCGATGAACTAAACAGATGCAATAAACGACCCAGCAGGTTCTGTGCTGGAAAACAGGACAACAACAACAACTTCTACTTAGATTTGTAAAACGCCTTTCACTTCAGGACAAAGAGCTTGTTGGAAGCACTGGGTAGCGTCTCAAGCCTTAATAATAATAATAAATAATAATCCTTGCATTTGATATAGCGCCTTATCAAGTATTCGAGGCATCTCAAAGTGCTTCTCAGAACACATTGTAAAGTGAATCGAATATGTTTTGTGGGCGAAACGCAGCAGCCAATTGCGCACAGCAATGTCCCACAAACTGTCGTGGGTGGATTGAGCGACCAAATTATTATTATTGTTTATTTTTTGAGGGGATTAATACCCCCGGAAAAGTGATCCGCCAATCGACTAACAAGCGGGTTCCTACTTACAGCTAAGCTGCTTACGAAATAAGTTGTTGTTGTTGCCTTAACCAACAACAACAAATGACATCTGTAAAGTACCTTTCACGTCGGGAGGACGTCCCAAGGCGCTGGACAGTCAGGGATTTGGACCTGAGCAGGGGGATGGATCAGGAGGGTTGGAGGGCAGGGAGGGTAGGGGTAGGAGGGTTACTGAATGCGCAGTCAAAGAGGAGGGTCTTGTGATGTGCCTTGAAGGAGACGAGGGAGGGAGCAAAGGGAAGGGACTGTGGGATGGAACCAGCTCTCTAGCCTCCTCGTACTCAGCAAGGATCCTGACAGAGGGTATGGGGGCCTGATTTGTAAATCCTAACCGTCCACCAGGAGAAAATCATGCTTATAACAGCAAATTATTAGCGTGCATCTTCAAAGCTTTCTACAGGCTGGCGCTGTTATCAGACCTCCCATTTGCTTTTAGTTATAAATATTAAATTCACATCATTCCAAAATAAAAAAAAGGCTGATCAAAAAAAAACCTTGCAATGTTTCCCTAGGTACTATTTTTCATATCAAAAAGTAGCCTCATTCAATATTCACCATTCTCACCAAAGGCATGTATGCTAATTCGTTTCCCCCCCCCCCCTAAAGCCTTCGGAATATATGAATTTTGCTTTGGAGCATTTTCGCCTCCTAAAAATAACATTTAAGCAGTCCTCAAGTTTTTAAAAGCAAAACGAAACCAAAATAATATCCATCCGAGTCCTGTGTAAAGAGGAGGGGTGGCTGGGGTGGGTGTCAAGGTTGCCAAGTGGTGAGGGTGGGGGTAATTCTCCTTCACTTTCATTCAAGTTCACCCCCACACTCTCCTCCCTTCCCAACACACTGTAATAATAATCCTTACATTTGATATAGCGCTTTTCACGTCGGGAGGACGTCCCAAAGCGCTTCACAGAACACACTGTAAAGTGAATTGACTGTATATTTGTGGGCGAACGCGGCAGCCAATTGCGCACAGCAATGTCCCACAAACAGTCGTAGATTGAAAATGACCAATTTATTATTGTTTCGGTTTTTGGAGGGATTATTATTAGGCTATGTGTGGAGTAAGGAAACTTGCCCAAGGTTTCGCCCTCTGCCTGGATTGAACTCAGGTCTCTCACTTGCAAAGCGAGTGCTCCAACCACTGAGCTACAGGACTCCACGGTGCTCTAACCACTGAGTGCTCTAACCACTGAGCTACAGGACTCCACTGTAAGTCAATGGGAGAAAACATTTCCCTCCAGGAACTCGTGGGAACATAGTTAAGCACAATCTGAAATATGTAGGAACCCATGCATAGAAATGCAGTGGTTGACTACATAGTCAGGCACTCAGTTAGCAATCTAAACACAGTCTGAACTGAATAACCTGACAATGGAGGTAGAATCATTTTGGATGTCACTGTTCAGTAAATACTGTAAAAAAAGATTTCTATCATATCTACCAGGGTAATAATTCCTTCAAAAAAATAATAATTTGGTCACTTGATCCACGACTGTTTGTGGGACACTGCTGTGCGCAATTGGCTGCCATGTTTCGCCCACAAAATACACAGTCAATTCACTTTGCAGTCTATTCTGTGAAGCGCTTTGAGAAGTCTCAAAGACGTAATAAGCCTTGTTGAATGCAAGAATTATTATTATTATAATGGGGG